GGTGTCAGTGCCCGAGCGAGCCCCGCTGGCACCCGGCTGCGCCCCGGCGCCTCTGGCCAGGCAGGGGCCGCCGGTAGCCACGGCTTCCCGAGAGGGCAAACAGGCCGCGGCTCGGGTCTCCAGGGTTCGGGTGTGTGGTAGCACCGCTTCGCCGGCTGTTTCTGTGTCTGCTCTTAGCCCACGGCAAGCGCAGCCCAAACCCAGGTAGCCCCCGAGGGGAGGGAGCTCACCTGGGCGTTGTTTGACGTGGGCTTGCAGCGTGCCTGGGTGGCAACTGAGAGGCAGGGGATGGTTTGTATGAGGGCTCACAAGAAAACCCCCATCGAGCTCCAGACCTTGTTCCTTTACCAAATCCATGAGGCCGCTGAATCTGCAGAGAGTTTGGCTGTTTACGTGCAACTGTGCAAGGATATTTTTAAAGCAAAGGGTATGACCAGCTCTGATGCAGCAGCTTCTTCCCTCCTCCTGCTGCCGCCTGAGCACAGGGGCTTGTGGACATGATTCGGTCACCCAGGAGCCTGCCAGGGTCCCCGGGCCCACCGGCCTCTTCCTTGCCTCGTGCTGGGCCACTGGCCAGGCCCGAAACTGAGGCCACGGTTCTGCCAGTGGGTCCTGGCACTGGTGCTGTTTGTGTTTACTTCTATATTTTAAAGTCTGAAGTTCCCGTCTGGGGAAAAAAAAACCAGCTCTGCAGGGGACTCAGTGGAGGGCTGGTTTTGCAGAGGGCTGCGAGACTCCTGGGTCCTGTGTGCTTGGTGCCGGCGCTGGGTCAGTGGCCCCTTGCACCCCGCCAGGTTTGCAACCTCCTAGAAAGTTTTATTGCTCTGTTTGCAGAACCTGTCATGCTGCGGTAGGTGGGGTTTTTATGGTCTGGCTGTGTTGTGACTCTTGCATCTCTGTGAAGGGTGAGAGGGAGAAGCAGTGAGAGCTGTGTGCTGCTGAGCTCCTGTGGCCAGGCTGGTGGTCACCAGCCCTGGCTGCTTTTTTGCAAGACCCCGCTGTAGGAGATGGGACTTTCTGGACATGCAGGCGTCAGAAATCACACACTCTTCCTGAAAACGCTGGCTAAAAAAAAAAAAATCCTTCTCCTCACCATGGCTACTCGTGCTTTTAGTTTCCCGTATGGGTGCTGTGGGGAACAGAGAGGCGTTTCCTGCTCCAGCAGCAGCGTGAGAAGCACCTGGTTACTGACAGCCCTTGCTGGGTATATAATGCCACCACCCCGGTCACTGTGCAGTCCCTGGCACGGCCACGGGGATGGAGATGCCCGACAGGATCTGCAGCTCATCTTCTAGGGATGACATGGTGCTTCTGCAAGTCAGTGGGGAGAAACGTTGATTTTATCAAAAAAAAAAAAGGCAACGTCTGCCATTTCCAGGCCTCGTTTCTATGGGAACAGGACATCAGAAGAGCAGAAATGCTGCGAGTGCTCTAAAATAACTGCCAGCTCCCAGGAGCACGTGGCCTTTGCTCGGCTCACCCAGCCCTTTCCGCTGAGACGGTGGCTGGGGATGTCCGGCTCCTGGCGACGAGGAATGTGGAAGTGGGTCAGGAGGTGGGATGCTGTGACCTTGATCCCTGCCGATCCTCAGCCTGTCTTCATCTAAATCCACCAGCAGGAGAGCACTGGGCTGGCAGCTGGCACTGCTGCCACATTACCTGGCATGGCTCCATTACTCGGTGGGATGGTGGGGGCTGGTGGTGCTGGCCTGGCAGCGAGGACCTGCCTGGCTTCCACCCGTCTGGGCTGCGGGCAAGCAGGCAGGCAGGAGGGTCTCCTTCCTCGCTGACCTCCCTGGGGATGGCCAGGGTGAATCCGTGCTCACTTATTTAGGAGGTTCTTCCTCCCACCGCAGCCAGCTGTGGAGAGCAGGGTATTTCCAGCGAGGCAAAGAGGAACTGGGTTGTTCTCCCAGTAGCTGGTGGTGGTCTGTCTCCTTCTCCCCCCAGATCTTTGTAACTCTTACTGGGAAAGTCATTCCTCCCATGCAGCACGCAGTGCAGACAGGAGAGCATCTCTGGAGGGGAGAGCGTGGCCTGACGCCACACAAGTAGGCAAGTGCATCGTGGGGTGTCCTGAAAGGTACAAGCAGTGTCTCTGAGCTCATCTTGAACCAGCTGTGCGCAGCCCTCCTTTCCTACCAAAGGTGGTCCTGACACGGATGGGGGGTGCCGGGGACGCTGTCTGAACTGCCTGTGGTCACAGGCATCTTGGGGCTGATCCAGGCAGCACCTTCCAAAAAAGGGTTTTCCCTTTTGGGTTGTAAAAAATCATTTCTGTGGATGCCCAAAGCCTGGAAAACCATTTTTATTCTCAAATCGGAATAGCCCTGTTGTAGCTGAGCTTCTTCCTTCTCACAAGTAAAAGGTCCAGTACAGGTTTTCTTGAAACACTCAAAAGCTTGGAAAAAGTTTATTGACAATAATGAGGTTTTCTGACTTTGTGTAGTGTTTGTGTTACCCAAGAGCTGCTTGACATTTTCTTAGGGACGTACCAGCCCCATAGCAACTGTAAGATCCGGGGAAGGGGGCGGGGGTCAGATTGTGTTTGAGGGTGCGGCGGGGCGAGCAGCCAGGAGGGACGCAGGAGCAGGAGGTGGGATCTCTGCAAGGGCAGCAGCCTTCTCCAGTCTGACCCGTCGCGTTTGTCGTCTTTAAAACAAGTGAAAAGTTTGATTCCCTTGATTTGCTCTGGATTCCTTTCAAGTGAGTGTGTGAGGAAGGTTTCTGCTCCTAGGGGGGCTCATTTGGAGATGTGTCAGATCCTGCCATGGTATGTGGGTGCGTGGGGCTGGGGGACCTGCTGTGGGGTCATGTGGCAGCCTGGTGGCACTTCTGCCATGGCATGTGTGGACCAGAGGCCAGCTGGAGACATGCCACTTTGTGATGAGCTTGGAGGTGTTTAAGCTGAAATCTAGCAGCAGCCACCGTTGGAAAGTCACCTTTGCTGTTCCTTCCCTGCTTGCTGCCCAGGGGGGTGTCTGACAGGCTTTTCTGGGCTGCAGGGGTGGAACACCCCTGGGTTATTTTCTGCCTAGAGAAGGGTCCTTGAGCACAGATGTCCCTTACTGTGGCAGGAATCTGATTTCTGTGCATGAAGTGGCGAAGAGAGGGTTTTTTTTACTCTGAGAACAAACCTGGGATTTGGTTTGGGGATGGGAAGGTGCGTGTCAAGCCAGGAGGATGCTTCTGGAGGGCTCAAGGTAGTTGCATAGGGCAGATCATGGATGGATGGTTGTTGCTTTCTCTGCAGACAGATGTGAATTTTAGCTTGCTCTTGCTGCAGCTCAGTTGCTCCCAGTTGTCAGTGCTCTGCTCACAATGTGCATTTACCAGTCACCCATCCGGGAGTGAGGGTTGGGCAGGCTGGGTTGCCAACCTTCTCTCCTCTCGCTGTGGCACCCTAAACTCCGGGCTGAGGTTGGTGGGTGCTGGCTGGATCCAAGGAGCTGATACCATCCTGACTGGGGCTGGAAAATGTGCTGCTAAGCATCTCCTGGGGCGTTGCTGGTTGGCACCATGTCCGTCCTGGGCTCTGCGGAGGCTTTCGGTGCTGCCAGGCTTTGGAGTACAGGCTCTCAGAGATGAACCTGGCAGCTGCCCACTCATGGAGGGTGCAGCGGGTCTGGTGGGTGCTGCTGTGATGCAGGTCGGCCCCATCGCTGTGGGAAGAGGGGGTTTGCCGTGCTCAAGGGCTGAGGGGCTGCTCAGCTGGGGGCTGCCCTGTGTCCAGCAGCATGGGCAGGCGGCTCTGCTTGTTCCAGGGTTGCCCCTTCTCTCTGCCACACTGCTGGGTGACTTGTGGCAAGCATGTAATCACAGCCCGTCTCCTGGTGGGACAGCAGTGCTTGGTCAGGAAACACCACTGCAAATGAACTTGGAGTGATGGCAGATGCTTCCCAGGATGGAGATGACGTGGGTGTATGATCCTCAAGCGTCAACTTTCCCTTCTGCTTCCCTGCATTTTTCTTATCCTTCCCTCTCCCAGGAGAGTTTCTGATGGGAGGGCACTGTTAGTGATACAAAATGTTGTGGGAAGTGGAGGCACAACTTGAAATCTTCACCAGTCCTAAAATATTGGGCTGCAAGGAGTTTGGTGGCCTTAGGCTAGTGTTTGCAGTTCTGTGACTCTGTGCTCCCACTGCTTAAGGAAAGCTGCTCCCTGCCTGCGCCTGCTAGACACCTGATGCTGGCAGCCTGGGTTTCTGAACAGCAACCTCCCTCTCTTGCAGCTTGGTTCATGCCAACAACTGGGAACAGATTGTGCCAGAAACAAGGTCTGGCTTTTATGGGTCAGTACTGACCCTTGGAGAGGGAGCACGACAGTTACTTTCCCCTGTTTGGGGCCAAGCCAGCTGTTGCAACATCAGGCTGGAAACAGAGAGCTGCCCTTGTGTTGCTGGCTGGGTGGGATGAGGGATGCTGCCCTCCTGCTGCCTGGGTCCACAAGCGCTTGGCCTTCACAGCTCTTTCCTCTCTTCCAGGGTCCTGCAGAGCGGTGGCAGCGGTCCCCTTCTGATGGAAGGATGGTTGTTCTCAGGCAGTTTGGGCTGCTGCTCTGGAAGAATTATATCCTGCAGGTAGGCTGGTGCCGTGCTCTCAGGGAGCTGCCTCTGTGACCTGTGTGGGGACATCAGAGCTTGACATGGGTCTTGGTTCTCCAGCAGATCTTCACCATGAGCCCAGAGCATCTCCTGGAGGAAAACTGGGGGGGGGGGGGGGGGGGGGTGTTTGTGGATGTGGTGTTGTCCTTTTTTTTGTGCTCAGGAGTTGCAGGCAGGGCTGTGTGCTCAGTTGTCCCTGTCCCCTCAAGTGCACGCTGTGCCATTCCCCTCCTGCAGTTCGGCCAGGAGTTCAACTCCCCCTTCTCGCAGGGCCAGCTAACTTGCACACGCAGTGGGTTTCTTGAGCTATCTTGTTACACAGCCACCTCTGGAGGTGCTGATTGCTCCACAGTGCCTCTAAACCTCCTGGGACCCAGGCTTCTTTTCCTCTGTTACTTTCTACAGCCCTCAGAAGCAGCTTCTGAGGGTCTTAAAAATATTAAACAACCATGCTCCTGGCATCTGCTCCCAGCCCAGGTCTCTGTGTGGCAGCTGGCTAATGTTGAGAGATTTCGGGACTCGGGGCCTCTCTGCCCTGCTGACTGGCAGCGTCTCGCCCGCCACTGGACGAGGCTGCAGCGCCTTTAAGCAGCGTGCGGATGCTGCGGCTCTGCTGGGACCCGGAGCCAGCCCTGGCAGAGGGCAGCGGAAGAGGAGGGAGCAGAGATCGCCGCAGCCTGGCTTTACACTTTCAATTACCCTTCTGTGGATCAGCACGATGTTGCTTTAAAAATAAACAAAAGGGAGAGGGAAGGGCTGGCTGGGCGGCCTTTGCCTGGCCTTCCGGCAGGGTAGGGAGCAGGCAGCAGGGCTAGGGTGTGACCAAAGGGACCGGCAGCAGGTCTGATTTGCAGGCAGTAGCATGCTCTGTGGGTGTGCAAGCTGGCCAGTCCTGTGAATCCCCCTTGTACACCCCAGGACAATCCCCCATCCCCTCTGCGGGGAAATAGCATCATTTTCTGGGTGTGCTCTGGGGCAGGGGCACCTCTTGATGTTTTCCAAGGCCACGGGCTGACTCAGATCTGCTATGCCAGAATACAACCTGGAGTGTTTGCTCCTCTCAAGTCTCCACCAAAAAGTCTGCTCCTGATGACGATGCCAAGCACCCAAGCCATCATCACCCCAGTGTGACTATGGATGCTGGGACATGTGGCTCGCTCAAAGCCGGGGCAGCCCTGGCCAGGAGGAGGTGGTGATTTATGGATGAGTGTCCCCGTCACCTCAAATACAGCAGCTTAAATGACTTGTGCAGCAGTGAAAGCCTGCCCTGGTAAATGTGTGTCAGCCTGCGAGTGCGGGGAGCCAGGCAGCTGCTCTGGAGACAACCCAGGAGACTTAGAGGGGGTTAATACGGTAGTAAATCAGTGGGAGGCAGCTGGTCTGCTAGAGCTGCATTGTAAGACCATCAGACATTTGCTTTTATGAGCATGGCCTTTGCAAAGGCTCCTTTTTCCCCTGGGGCTGGCTGCAGCAGCGACTGGTCCCTGCCTGTGGTCCGGCAGCTCTTCCCAGGGGAAGCCCAACGAGGGGTTTTTGGCTTTGGCAGTGGGTGCTGAGCGCTGGGGCGATGCTGCATGGCCGCTCCTGACAAACTGGCCAGAGCCAATTCACCCCAGCTGCTGCCCTTTCTGGGGATCTGGGCTGGTCTGTGCTCAGGGCTCTGTTCCTGCCCCACCGGAGACTGTGCCCACCTTAACCTGCCCTACTTGTTGCTGCTTTCCACCCTCATTTGAAAAATAAACCCTTTTTTTGTTCTGCAGAGGGTTGGGAGGTATAACTCCACTGAGCACAGCTCAGTGCTTGGTGTTTGCAGAGCTGAAGGAGCTTTTGTGGCAGTGGGGGTGCTGCCTCCGGCACGCGGTCAGTGCAGGCAGGAGAGGAGCCCTGACAGCTGTGCCCTGCCTGCAGCATGCTCGCCCTGTACGCTTGGTCACGAGTGGTGTCCCCCAGGGCTGGGTTTTGGGGCCGCTCCTGTTTAACATCTTTATTGATGATCTAGATGAGGGGATCGAGGACACCCTAAGTCAGTTTGCAGATGACACCCAGCTGGGTGGGAGTGTTGATCTGCTCGAGGGCAGGGAGGCTCTGCAGAGAGACCTGGACAAGCTGGAGCCATGGGCTGAGGCCAACTGGGGGAGTTTCACTGAGGGCAAATGCCGGGGGCTGCCCTTGGGCCACAACAACCTCCAGCAGCGCTACAGGCTTGGGGAGGAGTGACTGGAGAGCTGCCAGTCAGAGAGGGACCTGGGAGGGGGGGATTGCCAGGTGGCTGAACATGATCCAGCAGTGTGCCCAGGTGGCCAAGGAGGCCAATGGCATCCTGGCTTGTGTCAGCAATAGCATGGCCAGCAGGGACAGGGAAGGGATCTGACCCCTGTACTCGGCACTGGTGAGGCCGCCCCTCGATTCCTGGGTTCAGTTTTGGGCCCCTCACCCCAAAAAGGCCATTGAATGACTCGAGCGTGTCCAGAGAAGGGCAACGGAGCTGGGGCAGGGTCTGGAGCACAGGTCTGCTGGGGAGCGGCTGGGGGAACTGGGGGGGTTTAGTCTGGAGAAGAGGAGGCTGAGGGGAGACCTCCTGGCCCTCTGCAACTCCCTGCCAGGAGGGTGCAGAGAGGGGGGATGAGTCTTTTGAACCAAGGAAACAGCGCCAGGACAAGAGGGAATGGCCTCAAGCTGCCCAGGGCAGGGTCAGGCTGGCTCTGAGGAAGGATTTCTTTGCAGAAGGGGCTGTTGGTCGTTGGAATGGGCTGCCCAGGGCAGAGGGGAGTCCCCATCCCTGGAGGGGTTGACCCAGCGCTGAGGGATCTGGTGGAGTTGGGAACAGTCAGGGGGAGGGTCATGGTTGGACTGGAGGAGCTTCAAGGGCTTTTCCAACTGAGATGATTCTGGGTACCTGGCGTGTTTGTGGTAGCACCGCAAACCCTGCTGCAGCCCAGGCTGGGGCACGGCTGTGCAGGCAGCTGCGGTGCCAGACAGGAGGTGAGTTAACAAGGTGGCAGGGAGAGGCTGCGCTGCCAGAAAAAAACAATTGCTGAGGCAGCAAAGTTGTGAGAATAAACCTCTTGGTGCTCTTCTTGCCTGTTGTGTCTCCTCTTTTCAACCTGGCGGAGTGGGAAGGTGGAAAACCCCCCATGTCTTGTAAAGCCCATCTTAGCCACAGCCTGCAGAGGAGGTTAATGCTGGTGCTTCTGCTGTGGGTGTGTGCCCCAAGTGAGCAGCCCTGAATCCCTGCTCCCAGGGCCGCTCCCTGCTGCTGCCGGGACGTCTCGTGAGCTGTTGCTGCGGTGAGGTTTGGCATGTGCTGTGCTGCTCTTGTGCCTGGGCTGGGCTTGGGTGAAGGCAGCTCAGTTTGCAGGAGGAAGTAAGGCATCTAGGTCCAGATTTCACCTCTTCTACGCAAACCTGACTGCTGCCCCTGCAGCAGGCACGGGGCTGAGCCCTGCCCTCCTACCCACGGTGGGATGTGGTGTGCCCGGCCGAGCTCTGGGCCCTTCTTCCCTCTCCCATCCCTGCCCCAGCTGGGTGATGCAGCAGTGGGAGCAGCCTGGTGCTCACTGCTCCCTTCCTTGGAGGCAAGTGCCACCTTTGCAGGGATCTTACAAAACATAAATCCATCGGTCAGCAGCATGTGCTGGCACCTGCAGGAAAACAGCCCAGGTGGGTTGCACTGCAGGCACGTGGGTGTGCATGGGGCTGGTCAGGACTGCTGCTCCCCCTGCCCCTGCGGTCAGAGGTGACCCCAGTTCCCCTGGGATGAGCAGTGTTTTAACTGCTAATTAACTTGGCTTGGATGTTAGTTAACCTGGCTTTGTGGCAGGTCTTAGCTGGTGGGAAGTTTGCAGCAGAGGCAGCCCTGGGAGAAACCACTGGAGGGTCGTGCTCTGACTTGGTTGCCTGAGTACGTTCACTGGACTCGAGTTCATTGTCTGGTTGCTTGAACCTCAGTTAAAAAAATAAATAAGCCACAGTGTTTAGTGCAGGCAGGCCTTGGGTTGGAGGCTGAGCTCGTGGGTATGTTCTTGGTGCTGTGCAGGGACACCGATGCCTGTAGCCAGAGGCTCTGTGAGGTCCCACCGTGGGCTGGGATGTGTCCTGTCCTAAGCTTCAGCAGCAAAGACATTACTGGCTGCAGTAGCTTTGCTGCTCTCTGCTTTACCTCCCCACTGCTTAGTCGTCACAGCCTTTCATTTAATTACAGTAGTTTCAGCTCCCAACTTAAAGTGTTGGGTAAGGTGGTTCTGCTGTGGCAGAAGTTGATCCCTTCGTTCTCCCAGCAGTGACTGGTCTCTGTGGCACAGACCCTCCTTGCAGGAGGTACATTGCTATGGTTGCCTGCAGGAGTAGTTTAGGCAAGCACGGAGCGCTGCCTGCTCCTGGGCAGAGCCCCATTGACCAGGGAAAGTGCAAACGACCAGCTCAGCTCATTCAAACCCAGCAGCATGGTGGGGAAGGCTCTAAAGGAGGGTAGCTTGAGACAGAGCGGTGTTTAGGGTAGGGAACACCTTGGCTGGAAAGTCCTGAAGGATGTGGGAACCAGCACAGTGTTGTACCTGGGCTCTGGAAAAACCCAGGTGGTAAAACCTTGTGAAATGCAGGAATGCTTCTGCCACGTGGCATTTGCATGCCCTGAACCCTGTTGCTGTGTTTGATCTACCTTCAGTGTTTACATCTTCTTTTTTTATATCTTTTTCTTTCCTGCAGAAACGGCAGATCTTGGTGACAGTCATAGAAATCTGCCTGCCACTGCTCTTCGCTGCCATCCTGATAGCCCTGCGGCACCGGGTGCACTCCATCAGCCACCCCAATGCCACTGTCTACCCCCCTGAGTCTGTGGATGACCTGCCAGGCTTCTTCTACCGCCGGCACCCCAGCAACCCCTGGGAGCTGGCTTACGTCCCCTCCAACAGCAGCGCTGTCAGGAGCATTGCCGAGGCAGTGGAGAGAGCTTTACCCATCAGCATCAGAGGTGAGAAGGGGCCGGGAGCTGCAGTTTCCACACAAGAAATTGGTACCATTTTCTGCTCTGATACATCCTGATGCTCTGCTCCTGGGGTGCATCTTTTTTTTTCAGAACTTCAAGGCAATGGTTTTATTTTTGTTTCACTAAAACTACAGGATTTTGGTTTTGATTTTTGGTTGCATTTTGTTGCAGTTTCCATCTAGAAAAATATTGCCCTAAAATAGTTAAAGAAAGTGACTGTCAGTTCACTGAGAAAAAGTATTTTTGGAAATGTTATTGCACAGCAAATTTTAGCGCTTCATGTTCCAAGCTGAAGATAACGCTAGGATTTTCTCTGAAAGGAGAACTGTCTCCTCTCGAGGAGGAGGAATCATCTGCATGTGTGATGGGTACAGCAGTGTCCCATATAAACACCCCGTGTCTGACAGCTGCGGGTGTTTCCCAGCTCTGGCTGAAGCGCATCCCTCCTGTCCTGGACCAAAATCATCTTTTCGGTGGTGGTTGAGCTGATGCCCGCGAGGAGTTGCTGTGCTCTGTGTCTGCATCTCTGTTTTTCCTCCCTCTGCAGCTCAGGGCTTTGCCTCAGAGCGGGACTTTGAGGAGTATGTCAAGTCAGACAACCGCTCGGGCAGCGTGCTGGCCGCCATCGTGTTCAAGCACCGCTTCCAGCAGAGCTCGGCCCCGCTGCCCCTCCAGGTGAGCGGAGCCAGGGCTCCTCCTGCCCTCTGTGTTCCCGGCTTGGCTTCTTCATGTCCTGCCTGCAACCCCCTCTGTGTGCTCCTTCCAGGTCAGCTATGAGCTGCGCTTCAAGTACAGCCCGAGGAACGCGCCGCGGAGCGAACAGACGGGGCTGAACCCCAACCTGGACCGGGACTGGCACACCAGCTACCTCTTCCCACTCTTCCAGCTGCCCGGTCCCCGGGAGGCCAAGTTTGCTGATGGGGGGACACCAGGTGAGGGCCGCTTCTCCTCTGCCACCGGCTATTTCACGAGCAAAGAGATAGGTGTCGTTTTCTGTACAGCAGCTCAGCTCATTAGAGAGATTCACTGAGGATCTGAGATGGGGTTAATTTTTAAAAAATAAATTAATTTTAAAATTATTTTTTGAATTAATTTAATTTCAATATTTGAATTATTTATTATGTTATTTATAGTATTTATTTACATTTTATCCTGTGACTTCTTGAGCACTGCTGGCCTCTGTGTACCTCTGCTGAGCAGAGTTGGATAAGAATAAATTTTACTTATGTGAATTATTTTTTTCTCTTTATATTTTTAATGGAAAATTTTTTTCAGGGCCCCAACTGCTCAGTGTTTATCATGCTGCTTAAATACTTTAAAAGTAAATAGAGCAATTCTGTGGTTTGAGCATAGGTTTTTAAGGAAAGCCAAACCACTGCCCGAGCAGGAGGCAGTGGGGACATTGCCAGAGCTGGCGCTGGCTTAGCACTTGCTTTTTTGAGAACTTCCTCTGCGGCTGCAAAGGGAATATTTCCCTTGGTTGGCTTTCTCCTTCCATCATTCAATAGCAATATCAAGGAAAAGATTGAGAGGCTGAGAAAGCGGGTGAACAGGTTTTGCTCACACCGTGTAAATAAACCCGAGCCCGAGAGCACTGTGTCTGCTGGTTCAAATGTTCTGCAGGACAGGGTGACCAGGAGCTCGGATCAATTCCCTTGCTACAGTGTTTCTTTAGTAAATTAGTTAATATAAAACATTGTTCACGATCTCTTATTCTTACTTTTTTCCTTCTCTGTCTAGGTCATTTTAAGCAGCTAACTTTCAAAATGCTCATTTGGGGCTTTTCAGCAGAATTTCAGTTTCCATTCAAGTAACATGTGGCAGAGATCCCACCTAAAAATAAACTAGTTGAAAATTAAAAATCTTTCACTGTTTTCTAATGCACAAAAATTTAAGCCAAGTGTGTGAGTAATGGGATATATTCTTCCTCAACAAAACCTGCAGAGTGTCATACATTCTCTTGGTTTATGAAAAAAGGGACCACATACAAACTCGGTGACATTGGTAGTGGTTAATGATGATGGAGAATCTCCTCTCTTACAGAAATAAAGCTGTGCCTGCAGAAAGGCGACTGCAGTTTAAATTGAGTTTTCCTACCAGCTGCTCTTAAATGATGATTATGAAAGGTTTAAATTGCTGTGATTTAAGTCCTTCTTGTGCCCCTCTGCAGGAGTGTGTCAACACTGATGTTTATTTTGCTTTTCCTGCAAGCTCTTTTTTTGTTTCTTGTTCTTCTTCCCAAGCAATCCCTCCTTCAAAGGCAGTTTCTCTCCTCCTGTCAATGCCTCTGTCAAAACCTGCACGTGTCTCTATTCCCCCGTGTTGTTTTTGCCATGCAGGCTACATCCGAGAAGGTTTCCTGGCAGTGCAGCATGCAGTGGACAGAGCCATCATGCAGTACCACACCAACGCCAGCTCCACCAGCCTGCTGGAGAACATCACGGTGGTGGTGCAGCGCTTCCCCTACCCGGCATACGTCAACGACCTCTTCCTCCTCGCCATCCAGAACCAGCTGCCCTTGCTGCTTATGCTCAGCTTCACCTACACCTCACTCAACATAGTCCGAGCTGTCGTGCACGAGAAGGAGAAGAAGCTAAAGGTAACGTGAGCAGTGGGACATCTGGGTGCTCCCCTCCCTCTGCAGCGTTTGCCAGCCGGTGCTGCCTTTAAATGAGGAACAAAATCCCTGTTGGGTGTGGAGCCAGCCAGCAGGAGCTGGGGATGGCAGCAGATTAGCAAACCCCAGGGAGGAATGTCGCTAATCCTGCTACCAGGATGAGGCTCGGCTCGCCTTGCTGTGCAGCCAAGGCTGCTGGACTGAAGGGCTGGTGTTTCTCTTGGGCTAGAAGGTGGCTTGCAGAGAGGGCAACACTTGTGGATTCAAGAATTCAGTGTGCGGGAAGCAAGATTTTTGTCTTTTGAATGTAGAAACCCACGTGTCTGAGTTGTGTTGTGGGGGTGGTTGGAGCTCGGCTGATGCCGAGGTTGTGACAGCGGGACTAAGTGTGCAGGGCTTGGCTTCCCCCGGGCATGGGGCTGTCCTGCCCGCTGCCAGGTGGCCATGGTGGCCCTGCTGGACTCAGCTGCTGTGGTTTGGGGCTCAGGTCAGCTCTCTGGAGAGGTGTTCTCCTGTGGCAGTGGCAGCCCCTGTCCAGGGAGGTGGGGGACACCATGCGATGCTGAAGACTGCTCAGGACCACTTTGGTGGGACCTGGGGCTGCCACCTCCCTCGCCAGTGCTGCAGGGCAAAGCCACCACCACCCTGAGCAGGGCCTCCCCCTGGCTGTGGCCAGGAAGTGTGGCTGCAGCCCTGGGTGATGGCCTGACCTCCCCGCAGGAGTACATGCACATGATGGGTCTCAGCAACTGGTTGCACTGGAGCGCCTGGTTCCTCATGTTCTTCCTCTTCCTCCTGGTGTCCGTGTTTTTCGTCACTGTGCTCTTCTGTGTCAAGGTGAGTGTCTTTCCCCAGGCCAGAAGCTCTGTGCTGGCCAGGCTTAGGGATGACAGAGCTCCTCTGGGCTGGACTGTTCTGGTGTCTCAGGACTCCATGTGTGTAACAGGAGGCTGGAGTTGAGTTGGCCTTTTCCAGAGCTGGGTGGACAGTGCTGCCCCCCACAGCCGTTTTTCATGGTAGGGGTGACCTCTCCAGGAGGGAGCTGGGGGTTGAGAACCCCATGGGCACCAGAGAGGCCCAGGCACTCCATGCAGAGCAGGACCACCCTGCTCCAACAGCCCTGTGCACCCTTGGAGGGACTCGAACTCTCCTCTGCCTGTACCCACACCATGAGAAGCAGGAGGTGGCTGCCTGGATGCTGAGCAGGGCTTCCCCTGCCTCTTAGACCCCACATCACATGAGGGCAGCTTGTATTTCCTCCCTCTGGTGTGGTCTAGGAGGGCCTGGGCATTCTCACCCATCTCTTAGTTTGTCTTTAACCCATGGAGAACATCAGGTCTCAGCTGCCCACACATGCCCACAGCCATGGCCGGCTCCAGCAGCTTTGGCGTGACCAGATTCTCTCGGCAGGTGAGCGAACAGGGAGCAGTGCTCACCAACAGCGATCCCACACTGGTGTTCACCTTCCTTGCCGTCTTCTCCATCTCCTCTATCTCCTTCAACTTCATGGTGAGCACCTTCTTCTCGAGAGGTGAGTCCCTTCCCAGCTGCCTCCTTGCATTGCTGATCTGTGGGGCTGGAGAGGCATTATGGGCCTTGTGCTGTAAAATCTGTGGTTAATTTTTGTTGGGAGGCAGCTCTGGATGTTACCGATCCATCCTGCTCAGACCAGGCCCAGCTCCAGAGTTACATGAGGTTGCACAGGGCTCTGTTTTGGATAACTTGCTTTGACATGTGGAAGGGGGGCCTTTTTTCCCTTTTTGGCTTCATTTTACCCCTGAGAAAGGGATGTGTGTACTGTCGCTTCCCAAACCAGACAAGCTCATGCATCAGGGCTTCATCTGGCTGGCTTGGCCCCAGGATGGGTTGTCAGGGTGCTTCTGCAGCTGCCCACCACAGGGTTGGGGTCCGGTGCTGTTCCTGTCTTGCCGTGGGACATGGGCACATTCTCTTCCTGCCCCCCTGTAACCATGCTTTGTGCAAAAGGCTTGACTCTCCTTGGATGGAAAGCTGGTGAGAAATAGTCAATGGCATCACCATATTATTGACATTTTGTCTTTTGCTTTTCTCTGTGCTGGCAGCAAATGTTGCAGCTGCTGCTGGCGGCTTCCTCTACTTTTTCTCCTACATCCCTTACTTCTTTATCTCGCCCCGCTACGACCTGATGTCCCACAGCCAGAAGCTGGCGTCCTGCCTCATCTCCAATGTGGCCATGGCCATGGGGGCACAGCTTATAGGCATGTTTGAAGGAAAAGGTGAGCAAGTGCCTCCTCTTCCTCGGGAGAGGGGCTGCCCTTTTTTTGTGGTGTTTTTTTTGGTTGGGACTGGCTTGCCTGTGGTATGAAGGGTGGAAAAATGTCAGGGAGAAGCACTTCCCTTCTCCTAACGAGAGCAGAAGGGCTAATTGCTGATTGCTCCCGGAGACTGTAGCAGCACTAGGGCTCTGCCCCTCCAAACCTGTGCCCCTGGCAGTCTGGGCTGTGCAAAATGCCATCATCACTTTACCAAACGAATTCTGGTTTAACAGATGGGAATCCACTGCCTTTCCTCCTGCCCAATCTGTGTCTTTAATTTTTGAGTTAATGAGAATTTGCTGTTGATTCCAGCAGAGGCCATGCTTTTGTGAAGTGATGGCGGTAAAATGTGGCTGCAGTGACAGAGGGGCAGTGGCTGGAGCAGAGATTGCTTCTTCCCCGAGCAGTTGTGGAGAACATGATGGAAGAAACATGACGGGGTGGGCAGCCTGGAGGTGTCAGTGTGCTTTCTGCTGCCTGTGTGTGGAAGGGATTGTAGAGCCATGCATGTGCTCCTTGTTCCTGAGTGGTGAATGAGGACAGGGGATGCTGACTGACAGTCTTGGAGAACGCTTTGTCCTGGGGATGCAGAGGTAGGTAGTGCCCCGTGTGCATTGCAGGGACTGGCATTCAGTGGAGGGACCTGATGAAGCCCGTCAGCGTAGATGACAACTTCACCTTAGCCCAGGTGCTGGGGATGCTGCTCCTGGACTCAGCGCTGTACGGCGTGGTGGCCTGGTACGTGGAGGCCGTCTTTCCAGGGGAGTACGGCGTGCCTCAGCCGTGGTACTTCTTCTTGACGGTGAGCACTGCTTACACACCCCTTCCAGCAGCCTTGATGGGCCTCGCTCGGGGATGGTCCCCGCTTCTGTGCTATGCAGTGGGCTAGGCTAACAGACATCTGGCCTCCAAAATCAAGGCGTCTGCAACATGTCCTCAGTAAAGGCTGATGCAACTGTATTTTTTTACTGAATATGAAGGTCTTGGTTTTAGATCTTTGTCCCGACACTTCTTGGCATGCAGGCTGTTGTTAAATATCTCCACGCCTGAGTGAAGGCATCAGAGAGAAGCCCCAGGTGTGAGCAACCAGATCCAGTCATTTGAAACTCCCCGAGCACTGCCATCTGGGACCTGGGTGATCTGTGTCCTGCTGCCAGCCCCCACGTGCTGGTGTCAGGGGACGAGTGATGACTGTCACCCTGTCAGCTGAGCTGCCCTCGCTCTGCCAAGTCAAATGCTTGGCATCATTTTCAGTGGCTGTAGCTGAGGTGGTTACTGCAGCTCAGCTGGCTCATTAAGCCACAGTGACACAATCAGTTTTGATCCTGTGGATGTATTCCTTGTTATTTGATCGGGAGGTTTTTCCACCTCCCCTCTAAATTCCTTATTGCAGCATGGTTTCACTCCAGCATCTCGTTCCCTCTCGCAGCTAGACTAGTGTAGTGGAGATACTGTCAGACAAAAGCCACAGCAGGCTGCTGATTTTGCATCCAGAAGTTGTTGAATTGTTATTTCCACAGGCATTTAAGGTCCTGAACACTTATTTTCATTCCTAGAGAGACAGGTCAAAAAAAGGCTGTAATTGCAGCAGCTGGACCCCAATATTTTTGTTTTTAGCTTACGTTAGGGTTTTTGGAGGGGTTGAGCATCCATTGCCCGGGCTTTCCTGGGTTGAGCATCCACTGCCCAGGCTTTCCTGTGCACGGTGCTTCTGCCTGAGCAGTTCTGCTTCTCATCAAGGTACTGACCTTTTCCATGGAAATGAAGATGGGGAAAAGCTGCCTGTGTAATCACAGGTGATACTGCTCTAAGGGAGAACCAGGGGAAAGGCAGCAGAGCAGGAGGAGCAGCTGTATCCTCTGTCTGATCTGCCTGACAAAGACATGCTAGTTGGCAATTCGCAGGCCAAAGGAGCATGGTCTTGGAGATCCATGGAAGGCATCTCCATGGAGGAGGAGGGTGGCCAAAGCTGGGGAGAAGAGGTGGTGTCTGCCTGTGCCTGAGATTTTCTCTCTCTCCTTTCTTCCATCAGCCCTCATACTGGTGTGGACGCCCCAGGACTGTCGTTGGAAAAGAGAAGGAGGAGGAGGAGGACCCTGAGAAAGCTCTGAAGAGCCAGTACATTGAGGAGGAACCAGCTGACCTCGTGTCAGGAATCAAAATAAAGCACCTTTCCAAGGTACCAACTGCAGCACAGCACAAACACATCATAATGTTGTTTTTGTAAAACCTGTTGCCTGCAGGCAGCTGCCTTATGATTTCGCTGCCTTCTTGGCCTGGGGCTGTGTTGCTCGGCTGCTGTAAGGCAGCTGCATTTTGTTGTGGACTGAAGTGTTAGGTACTTACAGGTGTGGTGACATCTGTGTTTAACCTGTTGACATCTGAATTTAATGTGAATTAAACCTGTTGTCTAATGCCAGCACCATGTGAGCATTGTGGGCTTTGACTGCCGGGTGGAGCAGAGGGGGCGGATCTGAGCACTTGCCTCGAGTGCAGCATCAACTGTCAACTTGTTACTGTGATCTCCGCAGGTCTTCAAAGTGGGAAACAAGATGAAAGAGGCAGTCAAGGACTTAACGGTGAACATGTATGAAGGGCAGATCACAGTCCTTTTGGGACACAACGGTGCTGGGAAGACCACCACTCTGTCAATGCTCACAGGTAGGAGCTGCGTCCTGCTGTGGGGCTGGCACATGGCAGGGAAGGGCTGTGGGCTTGACTCACAGATTTGCTGAACCCCATCTCTGAGGTTGGGAAGGATTTTTCTCTTCCATGGAACACCTTTGGTTCACTGAGCTGTTGGCCGGGAATGCCAGGATAGCGAGAGGCACATCACTGCCTGGGGAGATGGAGGGAGGGTGGGGGTCTGTGCTCAGCCCTCCACGAGAGGGATCAGCCAGTGGGGGAAATGAGATCCCACCTGTGTTGGAGAGCCCTGAGAACAGAAAGGATCTGCTGTAGGATGAGTCTCTGTAGGCTTTGTCATGATAAGGCAGAGAGGGCATGGGCCAAGAACTGATCTTCATCATTCTTGAGTTGCTGAGCTCTGGGCAGCCAGTTCTGGCATGGTGGACATGGTGACCTTTGATGGTCCTTCCCTGTTCTCTGTCACTCTGTTCCTGCCAGCCCAGGGATGCTCACGAGACCTTCCCTGGGCTTGCCTGGACCTCTGCCAGGCTGAGAGCCAGGCTTGCCTGCCTGCTCTGGCAGCACTGCCAGGTCCACCTCCCACCTACGGATGCCATGCAGCCCACCCTGTGGGCAGGAGGAGAAAACTGCCGTGCCCCAGCTTGAGCAAGAGGCTGGCTTACTCCAACTTTTGACAGAGAGCTGCATGTGGGGGGGTGCTTGGCAGGACCCCCACCTTTCTGTCAGCTCTCTGCCGCCCAGGGTTATCCTCAGCCCTGAGCCGAGGCCACTGCATCTCACTCCTCCCAGGTCTGCACTCTCCAACGAGTGGGCAGGCGTACATCAATGGCTACGAAATCTCCCAGGACATGGTCCTGATCCGCCGCAGCCTGGGCCTGTGTCCCCAGCACGACGTCCTCTTTGACAACATGACGGTGGAAGAGCACCTCCACTTCTATGCAGGGGTGAGCATAGGGCATGGGGGGAGCGCTGCTGGGCAGCCCTGGGGGAGGCACCCTGCAGCCATCCTGTGCCTTCCTAAGGCTGGGAAAGCTTGGTAAGATCCATCAAGGGGGTCCGGAGGAGGGTCACAAAAGTGATCAGAGGGTCGAACATGTCTCCTGTGAGAACAGGCTGAGGGAGTTGGGGTTGTTTAGCCTGGAGAAGAGAAAGCTGCAGGGAGACCTCGCTGCAGTCTTTCAGTACTTAAAAGGGGGCTTATAAGAAAGGTGGGGACAGACTGTTTAGCAGGGCCTGTAGTGACAGAACAAGGCCCAATGGTTTTAAACTAAAAGAGGGTAAATTCAGACAAGATATACGGAAGATATTTTTTACAGTGAGGGTGGTGAGGTGCTGGACCACGTTGCCCAGAGAGGTGATAGATGCCCCATCTCTGGAAGCATTCAAGGCCAGGTTGCACGGGGCTCTGAGTGACCTGGTCTTGCTGAAGATGTCCCTGCCCACTGCAGGGGAGGGACTGGACTAGACCTTCCAAGGTCCCTTCCAACCCCATCTGTGATTCTGTGATAAGCAGAACAGCCCTTGCCTCCTCTGTCCACTTCATTTGCAGGCAGGAGCTCTCTGCTTGGCCGATGGGGGAGTGGAGGGTTGCAGGCAGCCTGGCTCTGCAGAAACCCCCCCACCAGCTGTGGCAGCTCCTTTAGGGTCGGGCAGGGCTCCATCTCATGTTTCCCTGCTTTCCTGTCTGGGTGTGGGAGAGGGAGTGTGGTGTGGTTTAGCAGCTAGTGGCTGATGTGGTGGGAAGGGTCTTTGCCAGATTCACTTACTCTTCCCTTCCCCCTGTCTGGCAGCTGAAGGGGTACCCACCCTCCAAGTGCCCCGAGGAGATCAACCACATCCTGAGGATCCTCAACCTGGAGGACAAGCGCCGCTCTCTGACCAAGGCGCTCTCCGGGGGCATGAAGCGCAAGCTCTCCATTGGCATCGCCCTCATTGGGGACTCCAAGGCAAGTGTCTTCAGTGGGGCTTACCTCGAACCTTTCTCCCTGGGTCCAGCGTGGGTCATTCTAGTGTCTCTGAAGTTGTTCCTCACCTGTGGTGAGCCAGTGGGAGACACAGGGACAGTGAGGAGGGGGCAGGAGCACCCCCACAAAATGGGACAAATCTGAGGACAATGCCCTGAGGCTGCAGTGCAGCTCTGCTGCCTGGTAACTGCTCACCCATGCAAGATCATCGCATGCGAGGTCAAGACTCCTTCTGGGCCCTGGGGTTGCCCCCTCTTGCACTGCTGTACCTCTACCAACCCTTTTTGACCAACACCTATCTCTCATGTGCAGGTGGTGATGCTGGATGAGCCGACATCAGGGATGGACCCAGCCTCTCGTAGGGCCACGTGGGACCTCCTGCAGCAGCAGAGAAGCAACCGCACCATCCTGCTGACCACCCACTTCATGGATGAGGCTGATCTGCTGGGGGACCGCATAGCCATCATGGCCAAGGGCGAGCTGCAGTGCTGCGGCTCCTCGCTCTTTCTCAAGCGTAAATATGGTAAGGCAGGAGCAGGCAGGCCATGCTTGATGTCTTCTACTTGCCAGGGAGGAGCAAGAGTGGGATATAGAGCTAGGAAGGGAACCCATTGCTCCTTGTCTGATGGCTGCTTGCTCCCTGTTGTGCTGTTCTGCCTCTTCTGAGGCCCATCCCCACACTTGCTCCTGCACCGTGTCCATAGCCCAGGCAACGCCATCAATGTTCTGCGGTGTCTTAGCATCCCTTTCTGCTCCAGCACCCCAGGGCCAGGCTGGGCTACAATTTACACTCCTCTCCCTCTCTTGTGGCTCTACCCAGGGGCAGGATATCACATGGTGATGGTGAAGGAGCCCTACTGTAACCTGGGGGAGATCTCCCGCCTCATCTGTCACTATGTGCCCAATGCCACCATGGAGAGCAACGCCGGGGCCGAGCTTTCCTTCATCCTGCCCAAGGAGAGCACACACAGGTAACAGCATCATCCCCTGCTTGCCCTCCCCAGGTGGATTCCCTCGTCTGCACACACCAGGGCAAACACTATTGTCACGGGCTTGCTGAAAAGGGAACCTACTCTGCATCAGCGTTGGTCTTAGAAAATGGGGTTTGGTTCCTCCTTTCACCGTCGTCCTGCCCTACGTCTGCTGGTGCATCGCTCTTGTGCCCCTGTGCCCACCACGTCACTGCCTGTGCAGCAGCTGCATGGGACAGCACTGGTTGCTGGTGATGGCTGCAGTGTGGAGGGTGGCACAAATGAGGCAGGCTGGTCTGGCTCCAAAACCAAATATTTCATTTTGGCTGAGGCTGTCTGTGGCAAGAAAGAGCAGAAGATTGAGCCCAAAAGCTGCTTCTGGGGAGAGGAGGGTGCCTAGTGCTTCAGGCAGCCCCAGAGCTGGCTGCAGGACCCGAAACAGCTGCAGGACTGATGCCCAGGTGGTCTTAACCTCTGAGTACCCCCTGTCCTGAGAGTCAGTGTCTAACGCCTCACTTCCCCCTTCAGGTTTGAAGCCCTGTTCACGGAGCTGGAGCAGAAGCGGGAGGAGCTGGGCATCGCCAGCTATGGCGCCTCGGTCACCACCATGGAGGAAGTCTTCCTGAGGTAGGTGGGGGGACGGCTGGCCCCGCTGCGGTGTCATCTGCAGATGACCAGTCCCCGTGTGCTTTGGTGACAGTGGTGTCCTGCACAGCTCTCTGGCCATATGCTGGGTTTTGTTTCTTGGGTTTGGCTTCCCCAGCTCAGAACAGCTTGATCCTGTCTGGGTCTGTATTTCATCACCCACTCCCCATCCTGGCACAGGGTTGGGAAGCTGGTGGACTCCAGCATGGATATCCAGGCCATCCAGCTGCCTGCTCTCCAGTACCAGCACGAGAGACGCTCCAATGACTGGGCCATGGATGACTCCAGCAGCCTGAGCGGGATGACGGATATGACGGACGACAGCGGGGCGCTCATTACCGAGGACTGCTCCAGCATCAAGCTCAACACCGGGGTGAGTCCTGGGGGCGTTGGCGCAGCAGGAGCAGGGAGAGAGCATATGAAGGGAGTTTTTGGAGCAGGGTTACCAGGTGGAGCCTCCCCCATGGTTGGTCTCGTTGTGTGTGGTTTGGAAGATCAAATTGGAATCTGCATCTTTAGGGCAAATTATTTTTAGGGTTGCTGGGGTTGGTCAGTGCCATCCTCTTTGTGTTAATCTTGGGTCTACAGAGGTACTTTTGAATGTGTCCCAGGTGATCTAAAGTGGTTTTCACCTGCCCTTGCTATATCACTTGGAATTTCCAGCAAGGAGATGAGAAAAACCATCTTCCTTCCTTTGCTAGGCTTGTGTTTCAGATCCCTGGCAGCCCTTCATGGCCTGCTGCCTATGAGCCTGTGATGAATTTCCCTATGCTTCTCAAGGGCACGTCGCAAAGGCAGAAGAGGAAGATGTTTATGAGTTGAAAAATCAAAGGTGCTTGCAGAGACAGGGCTAGGAGCTCCCAGGCCTCTCAGCCCAGTCGCTTTGGCAGGCAGTTGTGTTGCAGTAATCCTGTTTGGGAACCTCAAATGCAGAGAGGTGGGGGAAGGTAAAGGTTATGGCTATAGCTGCTTTTAACATCTGAGATCCCAAAGGGACTGCGTCCTGTTGGGAAAGTCGTGGAGTTTGATGGCCTGACCTGCTGTGCTGGAGTCAAGCAGCTGCCCTTCTAATCCCTTTACAGGCTTGGCTGGAGAGTAGGCTCTGCTGCGGGCTCACGGGCTATGTGCAGGCTGGGGAGGTGGTTGTGGTGTTGTTCCCCGTGTAAGCTGTGTGGGGTGATGTGGCAGCAGGGCTGTCTGCAGCTGGCAGAGCTTGCACTGACCCAACTTATCCCCTCCCAGTTCTACCTGTGCTGCCAGCAGTTCTACGCCATGTTCATGAAGCGAGCCATGTACAGCTGGCGCAACTGGAAGATGGTGGCAGCGCAGTTCCTCGTGCCTCTGATCTTCACTGCCTTTGCCCTCATCGTGGCCAAGACCTTCCCGGGACCCAGGGACTCCTCCCTGCTGAGGCTGACGCTGGAGCCCTATGGCCAGACCATCGTACCTTTCTGCGTCTCGGCCGCCTCAGGCCTGTCACAGAGGTTGGCAGAGCAGTACGTGGAGCTGCTGGATGCCCAGCATCAGTCACCGCTGGAGGTGCTGGGTGAGGGTTCATGGAGCACCCGTGGAGAGGGCGGTGGCTGGCAGTGTATGCAGGAGCCACGGGCTTCTCTTGCCAGGGCCCTGGGTGTGGGTGGCTCAGGTCCCAGATGCGGCGTATCTGAAGTGTCCCCTTGTATCCTCCCCTGCATGGGAGAGTCCTGCAGTTGGCAGGACCCCTCCTCACCTAAGCAGAGCTGTGTTCTCCATAATCCTGCATTTATGGCCATCATTGGGACTAGGGTGGGCCACCAGGACTGGGACTCCTTGGGGTCTCATCCAGTTGGCCCCAGTTAGCTTTTCTGTGATGGAGCCTGCTCATAACAGCTGTGGTGTTTGGCAGGTGGCCTGGAGGAGTACCTCATCTCAAGAGCCTCCAAGGAAGGAGGAGCCTTCAACGAGCATTACATTGCAGCTGCCTCCTTCGAAGGAGCCGGGAACCACACGGTGGTCACTGCGCTCTTCAACAACCAGGCCTATCACTCCCCGGCCACAGCCCTTATGCTGGCTGACAACGCTGTCTTCAGGGTACTGGCAGGCCTCAATGCCTCCATCACAGTCACCAACTACCCTCAGCCCCGCAACATCACCGAGAAGGCCAAAGACCAGCTCATGGAGTACGTCTGATGGCACAGGCCCTTGCTTTCCTGCTAGGGCTCGTGACTTCCATGGGTGCAGATTGGCTGGGTTATACTGGCATCAGTGGAGGAGCCAGGCTGGAGCTTCTCAGAACCAAACGTGGCTGTGATTGTACTCGGGAGGTCAGGAGAGCAAAGCTGTGTAAATGACTTACCTTCCTGAGCCTGGCAGCCACATCACCCCATGCACATACCTCAGTGGTTGAGTATTCCCCTCTAGATGCTGGCTGGGGTTGGTTTTCCTCAGGCGCTCAGAGCAGAGGGGGCTGTATGGCTGTACACTTAATGAAATCCTGCATCCAGGGTCTCTGAACCTCACCTGTACCAGAGGGGACATGCATGGGACCTTGCAAAGGCAGGGTGGAGGTCTGTGGTGTGCTAGGTGGGCTGTGCATGGGAGATGCTCATCTTACTGAGGTATGCTTTTATTGGGAGGTGTTTCTCCTGCATGCTGGCTTGCTGGGTGAGCATAGCCTCCACAAGAAGCACGGTGTGGGTGTGATGTCTCCACGTAGCCTCTGCATTGGTTTGTCAAGCTGTCTCTGTCCTAACCTGCTCCACTTCTTTCCCCGCAGAGGCCAGACGGGGTTTGCCATTGCCATCAACTTGCTGTACGGCATGGCCTCACTCGCCAGCACCTTCGCTCTGCTGCTGGTCAGCGAGCGGGCCATCAAAGCCAAGCATGTCCAGTTTGTCAGCGGCGTCTACGTGGTCAACTTCTGGCTGTCTGCCCTCCTCTGGGACATCATCAACTTCCTCATCCCTTGTGCTCTGATGCTGGTGAGTCATCCCTAATACCGTGATACCCTTCAGTCCTTCCCTTGGGTAGGAGCTCTTGGTGCTGCTCCTGGGGGAGAGCTGGGATGTGTGTGAGTGCAGGATGAGGCTACTGGCATTGTCCCAATTAATAGAAAGGACCAGCAAGAAAGCTGTCCTGTGGTCCTGCTGGGAGCTGGGCCATAACCAACCAGCTGGGTCAGTTGACTGCAGCCTCTGGCACCTGAACACTTGGGTATGGGCACTAGAAAATCTCAAAGACATGGGAGCGTGGAGAGGGATTGCCCAGATCTGCCCTTCTGCATCCCAGCCTGCAGAAGGAGGGCTTCCCTCACGGACAGGCATGGGCTGCTGGTAGGAACCATCTGTGAGGGGCCATCTGGGTCAGTGTGATGCTGCTATTACCTTGCTGCCTGGGCTGTTGAGATAAGGAGACATCGCTTGTGGTCAAGACAAATGTGCATTCTCCTCACATTGCTGTGCCCCAGGTGATATTCCAAGCCTTTGATGTGCAAGCCTTCACCCAAGACAGCCACCTCGTTGATGTGATGCTGATCTTCCTCCTTTATGGCTGGGCCATCATCCCCCTCATGTACCTCCTCAGCTTCTTCTTCTCAGTGGCAGCCACAGCCTACACCCGTCTCACCATCTTCAATATCCTCTCAGGCACTGCCACCTTCCTCGCAGTCACCATCATGAGCATCCCAGGTGGGTCGCTGCCCTCTGGGCCTGCCCGGCCCTGCACCCTGCTGGCACCAGAAGGTCCAGCCCCCGTGGGGACTTCTTCACCACAGGGCTGTCCTACACTAGCAAAAAAACCCCTAGGACGGTCCATTAAATGTGACAAAATTTGTTAGTTTTCTTTCTGAACATGAAAAGTATCAAGCACTTTCTCTAAAACCACCTAACTCCAATCTCTTGATCCTCTTGTGCTCCTCTTTCAGAGCTGGGCTTGGTGGACCTCTCCAAAACCCTGGATAAAGTCTTTCTTGTCTTACCCAATTACTGCTTGGGCCAATGCATCAGTGACTTCTACCAGAACTATGAGTTTATTCAGTTTTGTACCTCCTCTGTTGAAGCCATCTTCATCTGCAAGGCATTCAGTGAGTTTCTGTGGTGGTCCTCACCTGTCCCCCCTGGCCATCCCACTGTAGCCACACCCCAGATCTCTGTGGGGTGGGTGGTGGAGCTGGGTCCTTTAACTCAACCTAGCCATAGCTCCAGGTACCATTTTAAAGCAAAAAATGGGCAGTGTTTGACACAGAGGTGATCGAGGAATCTTTTCCTTACCAGTGATTTGGAGGAAAATCTGGGCTAGAGAAAGTTTCCTAGACAATCCCAGTTCCAAAGACTGACTTGATTTCCTCTGCATGCCTCCCCTGGGCATTTTCTGCCAGATCCCCTCCAGACCTGAATTCTCTTGTGGGAAGCATTGGAGAGAGCTGTGGGCAGGGAGCCCAGTGTGGGCTGGGATGGTGATGAGCGTTGGAAAGAGCTGTTGGGCACAGAGCCAGCGTGGGCTGGGATGGAGACAAGCCTGGCAAAGCTTTGGGCTCACAGCTTTCTCTGGAGCTTATCTGCTCCTCCCTAGTGTGTGGATTAATCCAAGTCTTGATTTTTGTTCCATCTCTGCTCAGATATCAGTTATCAGATGAACTACTTTTCCTGGGAGACGCCGGGGATTGGACGATACCTGACTTCCTTGACCGTCCAGGGCTTCTCCTTCCTCTTCCTCCTTTTCCTCATTGAGACAAACCTTCTCTGGAGACTGAGAACTTTGGTCTGTGGCATCTGCAGGCGGCGAAAATGGGTGAGCTGAAGCATGTGGGAGGGAAAAGTAAGGTGCCCTCCAAGTCAAGCCCAGGAGTCCCTTGAGCTAGAGACAGGCCCTCTTCACCTAAATCATCTTCCTAGGGAGCATCCCTGGAGCAGGTTGCTTGGAGGGGCCGATCCTGTTGAGTGTATGGGTTGGCAAAGGGAGTGAGGTGTCCCCAGAGGTGGCTGATCAAGGGGATGGATCTTGCCCGGGTTGGGGACGCTGGAGGCACCAATTTGTCCCACAGCAGCCAGGTGGCAAAGAGTATTTTTTTATCCCCCGTGTTTAGGTGGCATTGCTGAACAGGGTGTCGGTGCTGCCAGAGGACCGGGATGTGGCAGATGAGAGGAAGAAGGTTTTGGAGTCACCACCAGAACTGCTGTCATCGCTCAGCAGCCCTCTGGTCATTAAGGAGCTCACCAAGGTGAGGAGAGCATGGCACTTCCTGAGCATCCTGCTGCCAGCTGAGCCGTGGTCCTCACGGGGCTGGTAAAGCCATGCTTGCCTTGCTGTGCCATCGGGCAGCGACACGTGGCTTGTGTGGGTCCACCAGGTCTATGACAGCCGGGAATCCCTGCTGGCGGTGGACAGGATCTCCTTGGCAGTCAGCAAAGGGGAATGCTTTGGTCTTCTTGGCTTCAATGGAGCGGGAAAAACCACCACCTTCAAGATGCTGACTGGTGATGAGAGCATCACATCGGGGGATGCCTTTGTGGATGGCCACAGCATTCTGGCCAACATCAAAAAGGTACCGAGGGCTGTGGGGGCAGAGGGCAGCATGACAGTCCTGCATCCACCTTGCAAGTGCCTCCAAGGAGGACGCAGTTGCAGTTGCCAGGGGTTGAGGTAATATACTTTTCTGGTCCAGCTTTCATTACCTGGCCACATGGAAGCAGTCCCCTCTCCACTGGGATGTGAAACAAATGGAAGCTAAACCTTGCACGGATGGCAAACCCTTCATCAAGGGGTTTAGCTCCATAGTTGGAAATGTGAAAAGTGTGAGTTAGTGATCACAGTTAGATGATGGTCTCTCTAAAACAAATGGATCAAACCTTTCCAGAGCCCTGCTAGAGGTCTCCTTGCTGGGAATTGCCCACTCCCTTTGGAAAAGCAAGAGATGAACAGGGGTCAGGCTTTCAGTTCAATTCCTGGATACCTCTACCACTGTCAACCCCAGACAATATCAGGCAAAGAGCACATGGGGAGGGTCTTCCCTGAAAGCATGGCCCTGCTTGCTTCCTCCCCTGGCACTTTGCCTTCTGGTGGGCTCTTGTCCCCAGAGGAGACTGGGATATGGGAAAGGTACAGACCCTCCAGCACTTCCCTTCTCCTGAGAGCCTGGGCCACCTAAAGTGGCCCCTCACAATGAGGAACCAGCTTGGGAAACGCAGCGTGAGGCCACGCAGTTGCCATCCCGAGGCGCAGTGCCTCTGTCCATCCCTGCCTGACCGACTGCTCCAGAAGTCAGGGAATTTCCCTCTCGTTTCACCTGCAGTTTCAGAGCAGCACCTCAGTCCCCATTGCTTTGAGCAAAAAACCTCTCAGAGGTGCAACAAAGCCCTGTGGGTGCCAAGGCACCTTCTGGCTTGGACACCTCCTTGCAGAGACCTGCCTCTGAGCTAATCCCCATTGGGTTCCTCTTGCCCCAAGGTCCAGCAGCGGATCGGCTACTGCCCACAGTTTGATGCCCTCCTGGACCACATGACGGGCCGTGAGACCCTGAGCATGTACGCCCGGCTGCGGGGCATCCCCGAGCGCTACATCGGCAGCTGTGTGGAGAACATGCTGAGAGGGCTGCTCCTGGAGCCCCACGCCGACAAGCTTGTGAGGACCTACAGGTGAGAGGAAACTTGGAGACACCCCATGCACTCTGCCCCTTGTCTCATGGGGTTCTTGCTTTGCTCATATCGGGTCTCTGTCCCCATCTTCTCCTTCAGCGGCGGTAACAAGCGGAAGCTGAGCGCTGGCATTGCCCTCATTGGTGGTCCCCCCGTCATCTTCCTGGATGAGCCCTCCACTGGCATGGACCCCGTGGCCCGGCGTTTGCTCTGGGACGCAGTGACACGGACACGGGAGTGTGGCAAATCCATCATCTTCACCTCTCACAGGTAACACTTGTCCGGGCAGGACTTGGCATGAGAGATCGAGGAGTGGCCAGGAGGGTGATGGAGTTCAAGGCGTGGGACCCACCTCCAAAGCCCGGTGGTTGGGCATTGCCTGCGGCCAGCAGTGGCTGGCTTTACCCAAACCTCCCTCCTCTGAAGCCCAGAGGAGGGAATCCACATGCAGTCCCTTCCCAGAAGCTTCTGCTGTTCTGCCTCGGTGCTCCTGCCCTGCTGAACAAGCCCTCTTCTGTCCTGCAGCATGGAGGAGTGCGAGGCCCTGTGCACGCGGCTGGCCATCATGGTGAACGGGCAGTTCAAGTGCCTGGGCAGCCCCCAGCACCTGAAAAGCAAGTTTGGCAGTGGCTACACCTTGCTGGCCAAAACACGGAGTGAGGAGGAGGGTGAGCTGCAGGCCTTCAAGGCCTTCGTGGAGAAGACTTTCCCAGGTACTGTGAGCTGCTGGGGCGGATGTCCTCCAGGGAAGAGCAGGATGCTGCTCCTCGGCTTCAGCGAGTTTCTTAACTCTGAGCCTCTCCTTGCTTGTCTCTCCCAGGTAGTGTCCTGAAACACGAGCACCAGGGCATGGTACACTATCACTTGACCAGCAAGAACCTCAGCTGGGCACAGGTAAGGGGGTGCTGGAGCCTGTCCCACCCCTCTGCGGGAGGAGGCTGGAGGGACAGCACCATTCCTGCCCCTTCACATGTTCTTGATGCTTTGCTTTCACACTCAGCTCATCCTTTTCTTCCAGAGCCACTCTTTGTCCCAAATCCAGGTGATATATAAAAAAAAATATCAAGGTTTTTTTCTCCTTGGCCCTTTCCCACCTCCTAGTGCAAACAGGTCAGCTGCATGTATGGTCAGTGTGCCAGCACCCAGGACACACCATGTGTGCTGAGCTGGGACTGCTCCCTCCCACCCTCAAACTGGCTGCCCCTGACTGCAACCCTGCAGAGAGAAAGGGGGATCTCCCTGGGGAGCATGAGCTCGTTTTATGTCTCAGAATATTTCATGAAGGCTCTGGAGAGTGTTGGAAGTTTGGTGTTTGGTAGTCACACCCTTCCTACCCCCCCATCTCCCTGCTGGGGACATGGCACTGGGGGACACAGCATCGACCCAGCAGCACCCCTGCTCCCCACTGCTGCGCCTTGGCCCGAGGAACCGCCTTGCACCCCGGCTCCAGCTCCTGCTCCTGCCCACCGCAAGCTACGAGCATTGGCTTCACCGAGACACAGACTCTCTTGGATTCCAGCCCAGGGATACATACACAAAACCACAGAGAGAGTATATAACTAGCTGTATATACTATATGTATAACTATGTATACTCTATACAGATAGTTATGTACTCTATATACTATCTGTATAGAGTATACTATATACACACTATATATAAATATATGTATAGTATACAGAAATACCTATGTATATACAGATAATTTTTATATGCAGTATATAAGTATACATAGGGGTTTATATCTGTTTACTATATACTCTAGTGTATATAAAAAAACTATATCTGTATACTATATATTCTATGCTCTGTATAGAGTATAGTGTATAGTATACAGTATAGAGTGTATATACTATATAGTGTATATAGTGTACAGATTATTTAAAAACTGTAGTATGTAACTATATGTGAAAACAATCTGTGGACTATATACAGATATGTATAGTATACTATATATACTATATTTATATGTTATGTATATATTTTTTATATATATAGTGTATTGAGCAGATACCTTGGGTGGGGATTCCAGCCTGGGGATATACATATAAAAACACTCATAGACCTGAGTATATGTATGTATCATATATATTATATATATATACACAAAACCATGTATTTTAAATAGGGTCAGGTACTCTGCTAAATGATCCATCTCCTGGCTTCCCACCGCCCTCCTGCCAGGGAAGATTCTGCTTCCCCCAGGTCTCCCTGGAGCCAAAAGCTTCCCCTACTTTCTGAGTCACAGCCTGGGGTTGTCCCACAGCCAGGGTGCTCTGCAGTGACAGGCACATGTCCCTTGCAGGTCTTTGGGGCCTTGGAGAAAGCCAAAGAGAAGTATCGCTTGGAAGACTATTCGGTGAGCCAGATCTCCCTGGAGCAAGTCTTCATGAGCTTCACTCGCTTCCAGCACTACACAGAGGACAGAGGGAAATGAGCAGAAGCCCCCACTGGTGCCCTTCATCATGGACTGGCCCTGCTGCCTATACATAGTATATATAGAGACAGTAATTTATATATTGGCGTGTCTTAAATAATGTATAAATGTAAGAAACTTTTCACCGGGGAGGGGGGAGAAGATGGCATTGTACCTTCTGCCATCAGGAGCGCCAGGGGTGCGTGTGCATTGCGTGCTGCCGCAGTGCCGGTCTGTGTGTGAGTGTGTGTGTGTGTGTGTGTGCATGTGACACTTCCACCCTCCAGCCTTCATCCCCATCTTTACAGAAAAAAAAAAAAAAGCCCAAAAAGAAGGGGGAAGCCTGGAGGGGTGGAGAGGGGTGGTGGGGAGAAGGCTGTCAGAGGAGGCGTGGGATGCTGTTCCCAGATGGCACAGCACTCCCCCTGCCCTTGCCCTTTTCCCTGCCCAACGCTCACACCCATCAGGACGCTGCTTTGTGGTCTTGGCCCGCATGTTGATGTGTATTGTTAGGTGGTTTGCTCGTGGTTTAACAGGAGGCTGTCACATAGCTTAGATCCGAGCTGTTTGCTGGGTGAATCGGGATGTGCTGCTTTCAGAAGCACTCGGTGAATCGTGGAGAGGACAAGGCATGCCTCCCGGCCAGCCCCTCCATGGCATGGAGGAGGCTCCGTCTCCTTTAACCTCTTAGAAAACTGTCCCCTCCTGCCTGCTGGCCCAGGGGTGGAGGCAAGCCGAGGGGCTGGCGCCGGGCCGAGTGCTGGCAGGATGTGTTAATGGAGAAGTGCCCAGAGCTCGGTTCCTCGGCACAGCACGTGCTGGGTACGGCTGCAGTGCCTGAGCGAGGGCTGAGAGGTGTCACAGGGGGCCTGGGGACGCTGCTGGCCTCACTTACTGCATCCACAAAAAGGCTGAAGCAGCAGCGCTGCCCTCAGTGTGCTGGGCAGCCGCAGGACCAGATTTGAAGGCCAGCGATGCTCTTGCTGTGCCCCTGTCCTGCTGTGCTCTCCCCTTACACCCCACACAGCCTGACCAGAGCACACCTGTCCCATGTGTGTTCCCCCCCTATGCCGTCCCTGTCCCCTCTGCACCGTGCCAGGCTGCTCCGGAGGGGCCAAGGCACTGTCCTGCCCTTGCCCAGCTGTGGGGGATGCTGCTGGGCACCGTGCATCAGGCACCAGCACTGCCCAGCCTGGCCTGTGCCCAGTCAGAGGCAACAACTGGGATTATTTTTTTTTTTGGCATTTCCCAGCAGTTGGGTTGCTTTGTTTGTTTGTTTGTTTTAAATCCATGTTGATTCTTGTCTGTCCTTAACTAGTCCCTGTGTCACCTGGGGGCAGCCCCCTTTGGGCCAGCTGCTCCGTGATCAATGCAGAGCTATTTGCACTATAGTAATACACACAATTGCACATAACAAAATGAATTAATATTTATGGCAAGGGGTGCTGATTCCCTTCTAGTGATTGCATTGTCAGGGGTTGGGTTATATTTTTGGGTTGGGTTTTTGTTTTGTTTCTGTGACTGACTCATTCTTTCCTGTTCCATTTTTTCCCTTTGCCTAATGTTGTTGTTCAAAACGATGGTGCATCATGTTACTAAGAATTTCCCTGGATCTTAATGACGTGTGTTTTTATTAGTAAGCAGCCAGCAGGTGAATGGCATCCCTGGAACACCTCGGAGCCCTTCAGAGCTGCTGACAAGGACGGTTTGCTCCTTGGGAGCATCTCTGCCGGCAGCAGAGCCAGCTACTGCCAGGGGCACTGCAGTGGGAAAACCCCAGCACCAGCGCCTTTCCTGGGAGCAGCACCTGGGCAAGAAAAAGTGTGTGTGGGGGTGTGCTTTCTGATGGGAGGGGACCTGAGGCCACCAGCAAAGTGCTGGGGCTCCCAGTAACTGCTTTTTTTTGGAAGGAGATATAAAGCAGGGTGCAGCAGAGCCTCTGGGGCTTTGCCTGGGATGGGGGAAGCAGTGGGAAAATAAGGGCTTGCAGATGTTAATTGCCACAGGCTGGCAGCACCCTGAGCACAGCAGCAACAGGCAGCACAACCAAGCCCCCCCGTGTCCATCTGGTGACTCCCCTGCAAGGCTTGGTCCTGGGGCACATTGGCAGCATAACACACACGCCCCCCCCCAAGTGCCTGCAGATGCCACAGTGGAGCCAGTGGTAGAGGAGTCAGGGGCAAGGATGGCATCTCCTGGCACCAGCCCACCTCCACCAGGATCATCCTGGCCTAAAACAAAGTCTTAACAAAGCAGCATTTCTTGGTGTCACAGTGCTGTAACAACCCTTCCCTCTTGCCAGAGCAGAGCTGCTGGCTCTGTGTGGTGCTGCTCAGTGTTCCAGTTACAACTGCAGTGCCCAGTTACCCCAGCCCAGGGCCAGAAGGTGGGACAGGGCTGGCTCAGCCAGGCACATTAGCCAGGTTTTGTGCTGGCAGGGTCACAGCTGCTGTTGGCAACACTCTGGCCTCCCAGGCAGCAGCAGCCATGTGTGGTGGGAGAAGCATCACAGGTTCCAGGTGTTGCTGCTCCCTTCTGGCTGCAGTGTGGTTGTTATTCATCATAGGAATAATAAATTTTTTTTTTTCCAGTGGATGTTTCCTGGCCTCCTTTGGAGTCAGAGAGCAGCTCCAACCCCCCTGGGCTTGGGCTGTTCTGCTCTCTGCTCTCAGCCTTGCAGGGGAGGACATGGGGGAATTGGGGTGTGCTCCAGAACCTGACCTGGAAGGGCCCAATCCATGTCCATGGGAAAGTGCATGGGCTAAGGGATTTTTGTGGGCCAAATGCCTGTGGGAGCATAAGTTGAGGTCCCTATCCCACCACAGGCAGTCACAACCACTCTCTCTTAGCTCCTCAATGCACCCCAACAGCCATGGGCAAGGGGGAGACCTTGAGGCTCAAAATAGCCATTAGAACAATGTCAAGGGCCTCCATGGCAGTAGGTGGACTGGCCCCAGCACCCTCATTCCTGCAGCTTTACCCTCCTACATGCTGCAGCCTGGCTCTGAACCACAGCCAGGGAGCTTGGCCCCCTTCCCCTGTCACTTGCTGATGCCCAAATGTCCCCCTGCCCCCTCCCAACACACACCCAAGGCAGCACCAGGCCCTGGCTAAGCACAGGGAGATGAAGCAGCACCCAGGCAAGGATGCAGCTCCGAGGAAGCCAGGGGAAAACTCCAAGCCCTCTTCCAGAGTAGCACAGCACCCAACAACTCAGCCACGAGCATCCCCCCTCCACAGGGATGCCCTGCTCCGCACCAGCCCAGGGCACAACACTGCACCCCAGCTGCTTCACCACCTCCTGCAAACACATCCTCCCCCTCCTGCAAGTGTCTCTCCACGGGCAGTTTCAGCACTTTATTGTCTGGCAGTCCTGCTACAGCACCCCACTGTCCTCCCCGTGGCTCCCGCTGCGGCAGGGGTTCCGCTCCCTCATCCCCAACACGGCACCACAGTGTCCCTGGGAGCTGGAAGCTGCAGCGGTCCAAAAACTGGCACTTAAGGAATCCTGGCTGGGGCCGCAGGCTGCTCCTCCACGCCGGGCGCAGGGAAGGGGCATGTGGCCAGGCATGGCTGTGGTCCGGTCCTGCTGGCCTCACTGGGCTGGCAGCATGGGTCACTTGATTTCGGTCATCATTTTAAAAATGTGGTTCTCTAAAATGCCACTGATTCTGGGTTCTGACCAGATGCTCTCACCTTTGTTTCTCTTTAAAAAAAAAACAAACCAACCCAAACCTTTCTTCCCTTTTATGAGCAGTTTTCAATTTTGGCCAGAAATTGCTGTGCCCACCACTCCTCCAGGTCAATGGGAACAAAGTCTGAAAGAGAGGGGAGGGAGAGAGGAGAGCATAGCAGAGCAGCTGGAGAGCAAGCAGAGCTCCGGGTGTCCCTCCCCACCACCATGTGCCACCAGGAAAATGAGACCCCAAAACTTCTCTCAACCCCCATGCCCTGTCCCCAAGAGGCCAGGCTGAGTTTACAGGGACCTTCTCTTCTTGGAGAGGTCTCAGCTGCTGCAAGAGCCCCCAGGCTGCGTTCACAGCCCTTGCTCCAGCTGCTATCAGAGAAGCACCTTGATCCCGTCCCCGCTGCGCTCCGGCTGGGTCCTGCTTGGCTGCAGGAGAGGCAGGTGCCCATGGCAGGACCCGGAGGATCTTCTCCAGCATGGTGCTGAGCCCACCTTGGTGGCTGGATTTCCAGAAAAGTCATCAGCAGGGCGTCCTGCTTTCTTGGGCTCTTCCGATGGGGCACAGTGGGACATCCCTGCCACAGTGCCAGGGGCCAGCTGTCCCCTAGCACCCCCGAGCAGCCTCAGCACCAGCAGGACAGACCCGACCCAGCCCCCCGGCACATCCAGCACCAGGATACTCCTCCCATTGCAGCCCTGCTCAGGCACCTGGCTGAGCCCACAGCAACTCATTGCACCCCTGAGCCTGATGATACACCCGAGTGCCACGACTGCTTCCCACTTACTTTTCAGTCCAGGGTTGGGGGTTTTCTCTACATACTGCACAGGGCCGCAGGCGCTCTCCCCACTCCGGCTGCCGTCCAGCTGCTGCTCTACCTGCTGCCAGGCTGGGGCGGGGGGAACAGGCAGGGGATGGTTTTGGGATGGGGATTTCCCAGCCCAGGAGGGCTGCGGGAGAGGAGCAGGAGGTGGTGCAAAGGAGGGCAGGTACCCAGGCCGGGGACCCCATCCCTCCCACCAGGGTCCCCAGCACAATGTGGCTGCCTCAGGAGGGACCCCACGTGCTCCAGCCTCCCTGAGATGTGACAGCGAGCGGGTGCCTGCCCCCAGGGACCCTCTGCCCTCACCTTCATAGACAAAGCGGACATTCTCCTCGTGGGCCAGTGTGTAGCATTCCTCAGGGGCTGAGATCTGCTGCGGCAGCACCTGCGGTCTCTTGCCGTTCACTCTGTTGAAGACGAGTTTCTGGGCTGGACTGTCGAGGGAAGCAAGGCAGGGGTGAAGGGGGCAGGCAGTTCTTCCCACCACGGTTTGGAGCAAGGACAGGGGTTGTCCAGCCACTCCCAGGTTGCTCCATAGCCTGAGCGCTTGCCCACAGCCCCAGCAATGCCAGGGGCACAGCTGCAGCCAGCCAGTCCTGCTCAGCCCTGTCCCAAGGGAAGGGACAGAAAAGGGACCCAGCCCCCAGGGAGAGGGGGTTCCTACACAGGGAGGGGTGCAAGCAAGAGGAGTTGCCCAGGGAAAAAGCACATGCTGCCTGTCTCCCACCCATCCTCCAGCCCTGGCACAACATGCAGTCCCTAAAATTAAAAATCTGCCACCAAAACTGCTGAAATATCAGGAAAATGGAAGTGTAATTTGGTTAGGTACCAAGCAGGAGCATGCACCATGGTGCCATCCTCCTCAGACCAAGCACCCGTGTTTTCTGGAGCAGCCCCAGCACATCCCGAAGGTGCCCCAGGAATGGGATGAAACCCTCTGCCAACTGGAAGCAGCAGGTCAGAGTTGGGATCCCCAGCCTGGGAACAGCCAAACCAGGCAGATCAGAAGGAAAAGGTTTGGGATGAGATTTATGGGCATGTTCAGTGCAAAACATGACTATTTTGCCTTTTCTGCCTAGTTTCAGGGCAGGACACGTCTGCAACAGCCACGTTTCTCACAGGACAAAGTCTAAGGGGCCCTGGGAGTGCAGATGGGTTACAGTTTGCAGGGCAGGTGAAACCAAGAACAGGCAGCCCCTGCCTGCACCTCCCCTGCTGGCTCTACAGGCAGAGCCCGGGGCAGGGTAGTGTACCCCAAACCACGCACGGCTGGGGGCACCGGGCAGGCATCCCTGCCTGCTGCAGGCAGGGCAGCAGCCAGGAACGTGCCCAACCAACCTGCCTGAAGGAGGGGAAGCACGGTACCAGCAACACCAGTTAATTAGTGAAAGATCCCAGGAAGAAGGGGAGCTGGAGGGGAGCCTTTTCTCATCCGTTTCTCGAAGCTGGAGGGAACGGAGTCGCACATGCCCCACAGCCCTGCCCAGCTGAGCGGAGCTGCCTGCTCTGCTAGGCTGGGTTTTGCCCCCAGCTCTCCAGCCCAGAAAGTGTCTCCTTAGGAGGAGCCATCGCCCCTCCAGCTGCTCACACCCCCCC